CTTTCCAGCTCTACATGCAGACAGTTAATTGTACGTAGCTATGAAATCTGCCTTCAAGGAGCAGCAGAACTAGAGCTGTTGGCAACAATACAGAAACATCTGTGGGTTTAGGTTTCAGAGACTGTAAAATTTTTATAAACATTTGTCATTACTCATGGTGATTTCATGTTTGTCTTTGGTACTTAGTGTTGGGCAAAGTAAGTACTCCTTTACTGATGCTGCAGGGGTCCCTGGTAGTGCATAGGGTGTTACATATTGGGTCGCTAACTGAAAGGTTGGTGGTTTAAACCCACCATATAATCTACAGGAGAAGATGAGGTCATCACCTCCATAAAACTTTGTTGTTATTATTGTTATGTGCTATCAAGGCTCCTGAAACTAGCGACCCTATGGACAGAAGCTCTGAAGCCTGCCCAATTTTTTGCCAGTCTCACTGACTCTGACACACCCTCCCCCATTACCCCAGTTACTGTGTCAGTGCATCTTATCTAGAGTCTTCCTCCTTACTCTCCTACAATGTCCCTCCACCCCTCCAAGCATGATGTCCCTCTCCAAGGATCCATCCCTCCTGGCCACATGTGCAAAGTTTGTGAAATGGAGCTACAGAATCCTAACCTCCAAGCAGAAACTTGGAGAAACCTTTTCCAAGACAGACTTGTTTGCTCTCTTGACATGAAGGCGTTGATTCTTCTGTCATCTTTAGTCATGCTTTATCAAGCTCTCTAATGCGTAGAAAGACCATGGCCTGAATCAGGATGACCTTAGTCTTCAGACTGACATCGTTGCTTCTCAGTACTCTGGAGAGGTCCCCGAGAGTAGATTTTCCCAATGTAATTCCTCTTTTCATTTACTGACTGCTGGTTCCAAGAATGTTGATTGCGCAGCTGAGCAAGGGGAAATTGTTAACAATCTCATTCTCTTTTCCCATCTGTTATGGTGCTGCCACTTGGCCCAGTGTTAGAGTCTTTGTCTTCTTGATGTTTGAGCTTCAATCCATATTGAGGACTACAGCCTTTGACCTTCTGCAGCAAGTGCTTCAGGTCTTCCTCAGTTTTGGCAAGCAAGATTGTATCATCTGCATAACACAAGTTATTGATGAGTCTTCGTAATACCACATTCCTCCTCTTAAATCCCAGTCTCCCAGATGATATGTTCTGCATTTTGATTAAAAGGGTATGGAGACAGGACACATCCCTGACACACTACGTTCCTGATTTTGAACAATGCAATGTTTGCTTGCTCTGTTATGAGGACTGCTTCCTAGTCTGAGTATAGGTTTTACATGAGCACAATCAAGTGTGCTTGGATTCCCATTCTTCTCAAGGTTAGCCGTAGTCATGATCCACACAGTCAAATGCCTTTGCACAGTTAGTGAAACACAGATAGATATCCCTCTGGTACCCCTTGCCTTCAGCCAAGATCCATCTGACACTGGCAATACTGATAATAATGCCTCTTCTAAACCCAGCTTGTATTTCTGGTAGTTCTCTGTTGATGTACTATTCCAGTCATTATAATCTTCATTAGGATTTTGTTTGCATGTGATATTGTTGGATAATTTTCACACTCTGTCAGGTCATCTTTTTTTTTTTTTTGAATGGGAATAAATACCGATCTCTTCCAGTAATTTGGCCAGATACTTTAGCACGCCAGAAACCTGATGAAGGGTCACCATGATTCAGTATCAGTTCAATGACAGTGAATTTTGGGTTGTTAAAGATAAAATTCCAAAAATATAAATGTAGTTGCAGGCTGGTGTCTGTGTTCCAGCATTCTTGGAGCCTGTCTTTATTGTCTGTAATGATTTATCAAGTATGAAGCGTGTGTCCTGGAACCCATTGGAAAGCATTGTTGCTAGGTATCATCAAATTAACTACCACTTGTAGAAGTCTCATAAACCACTGATCTGACCCTTGACCTATTCTGCCCCATCCTCATATCAGTCAGTTTTGTTAAGGTCTTCCTGTGATCCTCCCTCGTTGATCCTCTGCCTTATTCGGCATGATGTTCTCCTGAAGGACTAGTGAAAATATGCTTAAGTTATATAAGATAAAGTTTCACTATTCTTAACTCCTCTCTAGAGAACCTTGGTTGTGCTTTCTCCAAGACAGACTTGTTTGTTCTTTTGACAGTCCATGAGATATTCAGTACTCTTCTCCAACACCACAGCTCAAAAGCATTGATTCATCTATCATTCATACTCAGTGTCCAGTTTTCAAATATGTAGAAAGTAATTGAAAATAGCATGGCTTGGATCAGGCATATATTAGTCTTCTTTACATTCTGTTAGCAATGTTGTCTCATCTGCAAAACACAGGTCGTTGAAGAGTCTTCTTCCAGTCTTGATGCCACATTCTTCTTCATATAGTTCAATTTCTCAGATTATCTGCACAGATTGAATGGGTGTGGAGAAAGGATACAGCCCCTGACTCACACGTTCCCTGTTCTTAAACCGTTCAGTAGTGTTGCTTTGTACTGTTTGTACAACTCTTAGTCTTTGTCTAGGTTTTACATGTGCACAGTCAAGTGTTCTGGGATTCTCATTCTTCTCAGTTATTCATAATTTGTATGTTCAGTTTAGTCAAATATATAGTCCAGAAAACACAAGTAAACATCTTTCTGGTATTTTCTACTTTCAGCCAAGATCCATGTGACATCAGTAATGTCCTTTGTGCTATGTATCTCCTGAATCCAGCTTGAATTTTTGGCAGTTCCCTGCCAATGTACTATTCCTGCTGGTTTTTTAAAATAATATTCAGCAGTATTTTAGTTGCATGTTAATGATATTAATGATACTGCTTAATAATTTTTACAACTTGTAAGGCCACCTTTTTAAATGAGAATAAATATAGGCTCTCTTCTACTCAATTTATCTTACAGATTTCTTGGCATAGACTAGTGAGCATGTTGAGGGCTACATCTGAAACATGTCAGTTGGTACTCCATCAATCAATTCCTGAGTCTATGTGTTTTTTTTCCACTGTCTGCAGCTTGGACATCTTCCTTCAATACTGTTATTTCTCAGTCATGTTATGCTGCTTCCTGCAAAGGTTCATTGTTCATCCAATTCTTTTTGGTACAATAACTGTGTATTCCTTCCATCTTCTCTTGTTACTTCTTACATTATTCAGCCCTTTCCCATTGTTGTTGTTAGGTGCCATTGAGTCGAATATAACTCATAGGAACCTTGTGAACAATAGATTTGAATTCTGCCTTATTCTGTGCCGTCCTCACCATTTCTGATATACTTTAACATATTGCTGTAGTCACCATGTCAAGCATCTCAAAGAGGTCTTCCTCTCTTTTACTGACCCTCTACCTTCCCAAGCATGATATCCCTTTCCAAGGAATAACTTCTTCTTGCAATATATCCAAAGTATGAAAGATTAAGCTTGGCCATCCTGGTCCCCAAGGAGCACTCCCATAGGAGTTGCTCCTTTTGTTTGCCACAGGAGCTGTCCCATTTGAAAGACATACTTGTTTGTTCTTTTGGCAGTCTATGGGAAACTCAGTACTCTTCTCCAATACCACAACTCAAAGACATCAATTCTTCTGTCATCCTTAGTCATTGCCTACCTCTTATATGCATAACAAGTAACTGAAAAGACCATGGCCTGAATCTGACAAACCTTAGTCTTCAAACTGAAGTCATTACTCCTCGATATTTTGGAGAGGTCCCTCCAGTGCACTTGCCCAAAGCAATACCTCTTCTGATCTCCTGACTGCTAGTGCAAAGTATATTGACTGTAGATCCAAGTAAGAAGAAATGGATCCAAGTAAGATGAAATCATTGACAGTTTCAGTCCTTTCAACATCTATCATGATGTTGTCCGGTGGTAAAGACCTTTGTTTCCTTGATGTTGAGATGCAATCCATATTGAAAATTGTAGTCTTTGATCTTCTGTAATAAGCACCTCAGGGCTTCCTTGCTTTCAGCAAGCAAAGTTGTGTCATTGCATATAGAATCCTTCTGTTGAGTATTGCAAATTCAGGCTTCAATTTTTTTTTTTTTGGTTCATCTTGAGAAATGCTGAATGTTCTTCATTTTGGCTAATTCAGGCTCTTTGCACATTTGAATACTTTGTCTTCATGAGCTGCCCTTTGGAGTCTTTTCAGCTCTCTTCTTTCCTCTTATTTTGACTTCATTTCATTCAAGTGCAAGTTTAAGAGTCTTAATGACATCCATTTCGTCTTTACATCCATTTCGTCTTTCTTCCCTGTTTTGTAATAACTTTTTCCTGTCTTTCTGGATGATGCCCTTGATTTCATCCCACAACTCATCTTTTCCTCAATACTGTTCTTCAGTACATCAAATCTCTTCTTGAAATAGTTTTTAGATTCAGGTAAAATAGACTCAAGGTTGTATTTTGGTTCACATAGGCTTTTTTTTTTTCATCAGCTTCAGTTTGAACTTACACAGTAGTAATTGATGATTTGTTCCACAATCTGCCTTGCTTTGACTGCTGATTTTGAGCTTCTCCTTTGACTATAAGGAATCAGTCTCTTTCCTGTGTACTCCAGCAAGCAAGGTCCATATTTATAGTCACTGTTTGTGTTGTTTTTTTGTTTGGTTGGTTTTGTTTTAGGTTTTTTGTTTTTTTTAATAGGCCTTTGCGATGACTAAATAGTTCCTGGAGCTCTCTGTCTTGTGGGTTAAACACACACACACACACACACACACACACACACACAACTGTGTTGAGTGTGTTTATTTCTGATTTTGCTGTTGTGTGGATTACAGAATAAAGATGAAAGAAGGGAAATGTGTGCAATAGGAACCTGACTACTGTGCTCTTGAAACATAAACATTAATCAAAAGCCACAGGGAAAAATGTTAATGCTCCAATTCCAAATGGCTGGCAACAAAGGGCTGTTTTGTGCTGAGGTTGCTAAGTTGGTAAAACCATGACCATTTATTATTGTCTCACTGGTCATGGATTTACTTGTCCATCACATTTTTTGCACACAAGTTGTTTTTCTTTTCTTTCTCATTTGAACAGAGCATCATGGTCCACCGTCAGGAACCAACTCAGCCAGGCAAAGCCCGGCCCTGCAGCACAGACCCATGGGACAGTCACAGGCCAACCATGTTCCTGGGGACAGGTGAGCTGTTCTTCTTGGGTTTTTTGTATCTTCTCATTTCCTCAGTCTCCATCCCCTACAGTGGGATGTATAGCCCCTGTTCCCATACAGTGATGTAGATGCTGGTGAGGTCAGAATGAGAACTTGAGTGCCCTCCCTGTCTCTCCCTGCGCAGTCCACCTCCCATGCCTGCAGCCCTCTTCACAGCCCCCTCCCTGGGACACAATATCATTATCCAATCATGCCTGGCTTCTGGAGCTCAGAAAGGAGTCACAGCTTCTGTTGGTTCTGCATCTCTTGGTCTTCAAACCTTCGTCAAAGACTTCCTAGACCTTCAAAGAATATTTGTCTCAGCTACATGGGCGGGCACAGCTGTGTATATAACTATTTCTTCTTTTGTTGAACATTTTAGCCAGCCCTGTTTTTTAGAAACAAAATGTAGATTTCCAGAAATACAGTGTCTTCATAGGCTTAAGGTCAGTTCATCTGCCCTCTGGTTCAGTTACTTTAGGGAATTTTGGTGGCCTGATGGATAAAAAATTGAGCTGTCAACTCAAAAGTGGGTGGTTTGAATCCATCAGTTGCTCTATGGAGAAAGATGAGCAATCTCCTCCAGTGTGATTTGCAGCTTCTGAAAACCCAGTGGAGGGACATGTCTGGGTTGGTTCCAAGTCAATGGCAATCCGTTTTGTTGTAGTTCAGTTACGTGAGAGCAGTTTTTCCTCATGTCACAGCCCCCTTTAAAAACAACACAGACATGATGACAGTCTGTGCTGGGGTTAATGGCCAGGCTTTTGCATATTATCTCTCTGATTCTGGACCCCTTCTTCATAGCAGTTGCTCAGAAAGAGAATGGTGAGTCTTGGCTTTTAAAAGTAAAATAGAGACTAGTTTGCCTTTTTTTAGGCTCTTTTTCATTTTTTTTTCACACCCAAGAGTGGCTTATTTCTCTCTCTCTTGTAGAAGTGCCCTAGAAAGTGAAATTGGGAAAGATGTCTCCACTTACAGACACTCGTGGTCTGACCACAAGCACCTTGCCCAGCCGGACACCGCAATGATTTCAATTGTAGGCACTCGACACAATCAGGTAAACTCACTGTGCCCCCGCCCCCAGGGTGGACTGAGGATTTGAGTTACTAAATTATTGACACTGATGAAAATTAATTGCTACTGCGGTTCAGGTAAGTGTATGCAAATCTAACCATTTTTGAGGACCAATCACATGTTTGTCATTCTTTTAGATTTCATGAAAAACTATAAGGTGTGAGAGTTTATCTTATGGTGGAATATAAATTTACACCCATGTTTAAGTATTTTAAGGTAAACAGGATGTTTTAGCTAATGAAAGTAGATAGATTTCTGTTGCTGTTTCTGAGAAACTTAGTTATAATCTTTTTAAGGGAATCAATTTCCATAATCCCATTTCTCTGGTTGTTCAGTTGTACATTGACAAATGTTAAAAGATATGAAATCTTCCAATTAATTTAGGCTGCATCTTTAAAAATGAAGTAACTCTTCAAAACGTACATCCATATCTTAGTTCCAGACTTACCTAGAAATACATAGCAAAAGTCATTTCTTTAGTTATATATAAGTAATCTCTTTTCAAAATGTAAGTAAAGCTGTTCATGAGAACTTTTCTTTCTTTCTAGAGCCTTGGCTGTTACCCAGTGGAGTTGGAGAGGGGCTCCCGGGGCTTTGGGTTCAGCCTGCGAGGGGGAAAGGAGTACAATATGGGGCTGTTCATCCTGCGCCTTGCCGAGGACGGTCCTGCTATCAAGGACGGCAGGATTCATGTGAGTTGGCGTCTGTCTGCAGGTGTTAGTTCAGACTGCAGACTAGAAACTTCTGAAAGTAAAGGAATGCAAACACTGTAATCTCAGAAGCAGGATATTTCTAGCACCAGAACCTGGGAGCTCCGGTGGCCTAGTGGTAAGGAGCTACACTGCTAGTGGAAGGCATACAGTTCAAATCCAACAGTTGCTCTGTGAAAGAAAGAGAATTTCCTCTCATGTATACCAGCTGGAGAGTCAGCTGTAAGTTGGTTCCGACTTCACAGCATTTAACAATTAAATTCTTTCTCTTTTTTTTAAAATTTTATATTGGCTTACAAAATTAGTACATAGTGTTTCACACTTTTCTTCATTCACATTGTGTTTCATATAGTCATTCCATTCATTATTTTTTATAAAGTCAACCACAATTAGACCTTGCCCATCATTACCCTGTTGGTTCAGGTCGCCACTAGGTCCTTCACATTATCATCACCCTCCTCCCTCCACCACCAAACTGTGCAACCCTGAAAATAAAGAGCAGTTTTTACTTACACAGTCAATGTGTACAAGCAAAAGGATTAATTAAAAAATAATACCTTAATCTTAAACACATTAAAGTGTCATCCTTCCTCACTCAAAATGACCATGCACACATGACAGTTCAAAAGACGGTAATCAGAAAAAACGTGCAGAATAACCTGTTCTCGGGCATTGTGAATGGGTGGGATCTCAATAAAGAGAGATTGAAGGGAGAAGGCATTCCAGGCTGAAAAAACAAATAAAAGAGTAATACTAAGGACATATAAATCAGATATAAATAACAGAATGACCGTGTTTACCTGGAATTTAAGAAACACCTAGAGGAGTAGAGCTAAGAAACCCAGAGGAAAGAACAGAGCAGTTGGCGAGTCCATTACGAAGGGGCTGGACGGTGGGCACAGAGCCCTGGAGACAAGTGGCTGAGCATTCATTCAGCTGCTGTTAAGGGAAAGACTGAGACCTGGAACGCACCAGCATCGGAAATCATCTGTTAATAAAAGGCTTACCTAGATGACTGATGAAATTTGTTAAATGAATCTAAGGTGAAAGGAAGGGAAAAATAAAGGATAACTCAGAGGTTTTGCCACTTTGTTGCCTGTTGTTGTTGTTGTTCTATACTATCAAACTGGAACCGACTCATAGCTGACCCTCCAGTGGGTTTTCTGAGGCTGGAAATCAGGTGGGAAGGGCCTGCCTGTCTTTCTCCTGCAGAGCAACTGGAGGATTGGAACCGTGTGTGTTTGGATTGGCAGCACAACAGGCTTCCAGAACTCCCTCCCTGCCTGGCAGAGTCAAGTCTCAGATTATGACTCCTGCTCTCAAGTCTATTTAAAATAGAATTTGTACATTAAACCTAGTTAGATAAGATCGCTATCTAACATCAGTCAAATGTTTGTCTCAGTGTATAGTGTGTATATATAGTGTACCAGTCTATGCATAAAAAGCAGTAAAGAATTAGTTTCAGTACACTGAAACATCATTAGCATAATAGTAATAATAATGATAATGTTTTTAATCAAGTCACAATTTAATTGAACCCATTTGTTACTAGGAACTATTATACTTGAGAAACTTATATTTGAGGTAACTACCTCAAAATGTTAGTATATGAGGCTTTATGGAACTGGGTTCTTAACTACATATTTTTATGTAAGTCAGATGTTTGTAACCAGAGAACTCTGAAAAAACCATTTTGGAAGCCAAAGGGAGATAGATTTGGCAAAGACTGATGATATGATTAATTATACTCCTGTTGAGGTGGTGCTACTAGCTATTTGATCAGGTGTAGATGTTTAGGAGGCATTTAGAACCAGTGGTAGCAACCTAGATTACGACATTACTCAGATAAAGGTTGAAATTTCTGTGGTTGGTAAGATCATTAAAATTAGAGATAACTTAAGGATTAATGGGGCAATAACAGAACTTTGGACAAGGCTAGTCCTTGGCTGTTCAGAAGAAGCTGAGAAAACCGGGAGCATTATGAGAAGAAGAGGGACTCATAATCAAGTGCCATTCATCCATCTTACCAAGTTCTCTCAGATCTAACCTCAATTCACACTCTTTTTTTTTTAGCTTTTTTTTTTCTTTATTTCTTTCAGCTTGAGAAATAGAAAAATCAAGAACTATTGTTGGAAATTTTAGTGTATTATTTTAATAAGTATATATTATTGTTGTTATGTACTGTTGAGTCACCAGAGACCTATAGTGACCCTATGTATAACAGCTCTGAAGCCAGCCCTGTCCTGAGCCAGTCTCACTAAATCCAACACACCAATCCCCATTGCCCCAGTTACTGTATCAATCCATCTAATGCGGAGTCTTCCTCCACCCTTCTGAGCATGATGTCCTACTCCAAAGATTGGTCCCTCCTGGCCACCTGTCCAAAGTATGTGAGACAGAGTTTCAAAATCCTAGTCCCCGAGGAGACACTTGGTTTTATCCTCTCCAAGACAGATATATTTGTTTTCTTGGTAGTCCATGGTGTGTTCAAGACTCTTCTTCAGCACCACAACTCAAAGGCATTGATTCTTCTGTCTCTCTAATGCATAGCAAGTAATAGCAAAAACTATGGCCGGGATTAGGTGCACCTTGGTCTCTAGACTGACATCATTGCTTTTCATCATGCTGGTATACCTACCAAACCAAATCTGTACAGCTTTCCTGATTTTGAAGCATGCAGTGTTTCCTTGCTCTGTTCTGATGCCTGCTTCCTAGACAAAGTATAGATTTGCATAAGCACAATCAGGTGTTCTGAGATTCCCATTCTTCTCAGATCTAGCCACAGTTTGTTATAGTCCACATAGTAAAATGCCTTTGCATAGTCAATGAAACAGACAGACGTTCCTCTGATACTCTCTCCTTTCAGCTAAGATCTTATCTAAAATTGGATATAGTATCCTTAGTGCCACAGCCTTTTCTAAACCCAGCCTGTACACCTGGCAGTTCTCTATTGAGGAGCTGTTCCAGTTATTTTTAGATAATTTTCAGCAAGACCTTGCTTGCATGTGATATTATTGATATTGTTCAATAATTCCCACACTCTGTTCATACCTTTTTTTGGAATGAGAACAAAAATGGATCTCTTCCAGTCAGTTGGCCAGGTAGTTGTCCTCCAGATTTCTTGGCACAACTTGGTGAAACCGTCCAGGGCAATGTTTGTTTGTTGAAATATGTCAATTTCTATGCTGTCAATTCCTGGGGCCTTGTGTTTCGCCGATTCCTTCAGAGCAGCTTGAACCTCCTCCTTCATCACCACAGGGTCTTGATCATATGTGGTTTCATGAAATTCTCCTATATCAGCCAATTATTTTTGGTATAGTGACTCTGTGTTTTCCTTCCATCTTCTTTTGATGCTTCCTGGGTCAGTGAACATTCTTAATACTTAATACTTAAGTATTGCAACTCAAGGCTTGAATTTGTTCTTCAGTTCTTTCAGTGTAAGAAATGTTTGAGCAAGTTCATCACTTTTGATTTTCTGACTCCAACTCTGCATATTTTATTATAATACTTTGCTTTGTCTTCCAGTGCTGCCCTTTGAAATCTTCTGTTCAGCTTCTTAACATCTTAATTTCTTCCCTTTGCCTTGGCTTCTTGGTAATCTAGTGCAATATTCAGAGTCTCTTCTGACATCCATTTTGGCCCAGGAGGCTGGGCTCTATGAGGAGGAATGTGGCATCAGGATTGGAGGAAGACACCTCAACAACCTGCGCTATGCAGATGACACAAGCCTGCTTGCTGAAACTGAGGAGGACCTGAGGCATTTGCTACAGAAGGTCAAGGACTGGCGAGCTCTAGTGGCCTAGTGGCAGGAAACTGCACTGCAATCGCAGAGGTGCACGGTTCAAATCCACCAGATGCTCTGCTGAAGAAGAAGGAACAATCGCCTCCTGTACCAGTCGGATCCAATTTGATGGTACAAACATAAAATAAATAAATTAAAAAACAAAAAAAAAGGTCAAGGACTACAGCCTTCAATATGGATTGAAGCTCAACATCAAGAAGACAAAGATTCTCATCACTGAGCCATGGTGATAGACAGTGAAGAGATTGAAATTGTTAACAGCTTCAATTTGCTTGGCTCCATAATCATCACTCTTAGCACCAGCAGCCAGGAATTCAAAAGACTAATTTCATTGGGAAAATCTGTTGTCAGGGACTGTAGCACATTTCATAGCAATATTCAGCAGGGACTGTAGAGAAAGAGAGATGTTGGACAGAGAGTTGGCCTTGTTCTGTCTAATGCCTCTAGCTTGCAGTTCTGAAAGTTAGGTTTTTATGCCATTAGTCCATGCAGGGAGTAACCTTAGTCAGCGTCTCCCCGAGTCAGGGTTTCACCAATCAGAATGGTGATGTTTCTTCTTCAGATAAACACCTTGGGTCAGTGGACTTAACACAGCGTCCTCTATTTGTTCTTTTGGTAGTCCATGTGATATTCAGAAATCTTCTCCAATACCACAACTCAAAGGCATTGATTCTTTTTCTATCTCAATTCACATTCTTACAAAGATAGTTTAATAGAATGAGTTTGGAAATCAGACAGTAGACAAAGGTTCAGATTCTGGCTTCCCACTTTGGGGCTATATGCCACTGGGTTAACTCCTCTGAATCTTATGCTACTTTATCTGCTGAGTAAGGAAGTGTTATTTCACAACTTGTAAAATACACAGACCTGAGCACCAAACTAGGTACCAGCTGATTTTCACCCTGATCCCCAAGTGTGTTTCAGAGTAGAACTGTGTTCCATAGAGTTTTCAGTGTCAGATGTTTTTCAAGATGATCTCTAGACCTTGTTTCCAAAGACATCTCCAGTACACTAGACCTTCAACTTTTCAGTTAACAACCAAGAGAACTGGCCCCAGCCAGTGACTGTCAGTGAGCTCAGTAATCACTGAATAACTACTTCATTTCTTTATTTCTCTCTCTGGCTGAATATACTTCTTGAACCTTAGAAAGAGGAATTTAATGCACTGTTTGTAGGGATG